ATTGAAAATATAATTAAAATGATGGGCCAGTGCTAGATCATATAATAGGAAAACATGTAGTGACTTATGTACTTGGCCTCAATAATATGATATCAATACTTTTTGTTAGAGGAATTCACAGCAATCCTGTACTTGGCGTAGTTTTTTACACGTAAGTGTTTTTTGGGGGATAAGAGTTGACTCAAGTAAAGAGTCTCTACGAGCTGTGCCCTGTACAGCCGGTTGCCTGTACTTGGTGCGAGACTCGACGGAGTCTCTTGATATCCCGCTTTAAATGTTGCGATTGTTAATGAAATATATGCAGCCATTCAGATTTTATGTCATTTAAAATTTTTTGAAAAAAGGACGTGGTCACTCTAACTTTCGTAAAGGTTCGACGATTTAGCTAAATAGTTCTTCATAACTGAAGATACGTTCAATGTTGTTTGGTATTGAATTTTGACAAGATCGCTAAAACGGTTTAGATTTTACGTGGTTTTGAAATTTTCAAAAAATTATCGTTATTGTTTTGTTTTTTTTTTACCTCATTTTTAACTGTATGTATGTATATAAATAGATAAAATAATTCAAAGAACTTCCTCATAGTGGAGGCTTTGTGAACGAAGGAAAAGAATCAAGAAGCAAAGTGTAAGATTCTACTTTGCATCGTTGTGATAGAAAAAACCAAGTAACATAATGAGGAAGCAATTTGCAAGGTTCTACTTTGCAGCCTTGTTTTAAAATGATTTTAATATGAATTTAAAAATTGTTTAATGGATTTTGGGCCTCATTGAGCCCAAAATAGTTGCAGGCCCCAACATTAATTCAGATTATCAAATCGCCAGTCCATATTATTATTATCACTAACAAAAAACCGGAACTTGTAACGTATTTCAAAATTCAACTTCGAGGGTCTTTTGCGTCTTTTGCAGAGGGTTTGTCGAAAAATGATCAAGAACAAAACTTATTTATTTTTTTTTCATACAACATAAATTTGAAATAAAAAATAGGGGTTCTCATTTTAAAAAATGGATTTGGGTCTTATAGGGCCCAACACAGGCACTAAGCCAAAAATTCAGGTATCTCACTAGATGGCCCCCTTCGAGCCCGATAACTTTTGTCTCAAACCTTTTTTCTAAAAACTCCTTGTATCCGTTATATTGCAATATCTAAGTTAAAATGGGACACCCTGTATATAATAGTATATACGAAAATCAAAAAATATTTGCAAAATCGGATGCATAAATAACGCGAAATGCACAAACTATAAAGGACTCTTATTATATTGCTTACCGAGAATTATAATAAATCCTGTCACATAGGTTAGCAGGAATCTCACGACTTTAACAAAAGGTCGTAAGTTAAGCCAATAAATGCGAACTTCACATGGCCAAATAATTTCAGGATCAGATTGCGTTGCATTATAGATAAAATCTAAATCTTTCAGTGGTATAGGACACGTTGTACTATTCCTAAAATGAAGAAGAGCTGTAGAGCATGTACTTAGTGGAATTATTAAAAAGAAACAGGAATTCCATGGCAACTTCCAATACTTACCAAGTGGTATTTAACGAAGGTATTGACTCCGCTCCTGCTGAGTGTAGAATCATGATTATTAAGAGTGTCAATATTTCGTTCCTCTTAATTCCAAGCAAACACATTTGCGTTATTTCACTTAAAAATTGCCTGGCTTGAAGTAATAAGGCGTCTAGTAATTTCAATAATTTTTCACCTCGTATTAACACTTTAATATACAAAAAATAAGCTCGCGGCCTTTAATGTAACTTTCTACATGCATTGGATAATTTTTATAACTTTGACTTATCTTAGATTCTTCTATATTTTCTCATATATATCACAAATTATACGTATTGCATGTAACAAAAATGAATGGTGCTCAGCTGCTCGCGTACCTCTATGTCCCCGCGTGCTTTTCCTAAGCCAGTATGACATTAGAATTATCATTTGCGAATACGTTTCACGACGTGTTCTGTGAAGACACTTGTCTACAATTATCATAACACAGAATTATTCTTGGTAAATGTCATTTGAATGTAGACAACGAGATGCAAAGCTTAAGTATCCAGATCCGTATTAAAGTGTTATTCAGTCGACTAGAGTTCATATGCAAGATGTTCCAGAATTCTAGAACGGTATCTCGTTGCCTCTTCGATCGCACATTACTAACCGACCGTACAAATTATATTTTTATTCATGAAAGAATCCTGTTTCAAGCACAAAATGTGGATTTTTTGGATAATATAAAAAGAATTTCTTGTATATATAATACAAATTTGTAATTAACTACGATGTAAACGAAGGTAAATATTTTTTCTTTAAAGGAAAGACACAATAGCACCCTGTTTTAAACGGCTTCAGTTTTAGTTTACTTAATGAACTACAATCAACGCATTCTCTGACGTCGCACACACCTCTCTGACTCTCGCTTTATTGCTTCCACGTGTATTAATTTTTCCTATTATTCTCGCAAAATTTTTTCCGGTAGCTCACCAGCAGAGAACTGATTCGCGATTAAACGTCGATATTCATAAAACCTGAGTTTAAACTCACTATGGTTCTTTGTAGGAAATCGAGGTGAGTAAGCAGGACGGAATAAACTATTCAGAAGCAAAACCAGCTAAAAAAAGTCTCTACAAATATTTAACTAAGCATATTTTTAGATTATAATTATTATGAAAGACTCTTGTGGAGAAAGGTTTATTCTGTAACGTTACGGAAGTTTGCTCAATCTCGTAAATATTTAAGAAGTGTTACACCGTCAAATAAAAAAGGCAACTCACGATATCATTAACGTTAGACAAACCATTGACGATAGTAGGTATACCGATAAAAGTAGAATATTCCCCTAATAAGATGAAGTTATACGTCTTGTGTATTGCTTTCTTTTAGAATCTAAAAGTGCTCTCTCATTAAAGTAGTGAATTGTTATTACTACATGAAGGTAATTCAATGCCGGAACTACAATGAATAATCAGCTCGTATATATATATTGGCAATTCTCTTGTTTATTGTTGTGGGCTTCTGTCTTTCGTGAAATAGCTGTGTGCCAGTGTCAAAAAATTCGACACAAACTTACAAGCAATTCCGATGATATGATAATTTCTGTATTAAATCGCTATGAACATGGTGTGTAACAGGCTTGTGAATATAAGAGCAATAATACTACATATGTACAATTTTCTTAGGAACCGCTCTTTGTATATTTTATGTTAAATGTAAATCGTATAACAGGTACCAGAACAATGATCACTACATGTTTCATGGCTCCTACTTTAGATTTAATGTGCGACTATAATATTACCTTCAGGCGCAACCGATTTCTCTAAAATTGTTGTGTCGCGCTGTATATCGCATAAATTGATTTAACATGCTATTATGCATTATTTGTGTTCAATGTTCATTTTATAATTATCGAAGAGCACCCAGTTTGATATAAGATGAAATTCATTAACAGATCATAACATTACTGTAATCAAATACAACGTGACACGATATGACAGTCGTTTTAAATATTCCCTCGCATCAGTATTGTAGAAACCAAACAGTTTTTGATTTATGTGATATGTCAATCAATTTATATCTGGTGTAAAAATGATTATCCGGCTACAGTAATGGCAAGTCGTTCTATTAAAAACATTAGTTGAAATATTTTTACTTTAAATATGCGTCATCATTACAGCAAAACTTTGTATTCATTTATTTCTTCATTTTAATATTAATTATAAATACTGTATTCGTCGCGCCCAATGCATGGACATATCTTAGTGATGCTTGAGCGAGGAAAAAACTGTTTCTTATAGCAATATCATACAAATAAAAAATAGTTACGTAATCTAATCTGTAAAACATGGGAAAACGCTATATATGGGCTTTGACTAAAAAAAAGGTATTGCATACATCCCATAGCCAAAAAATAGAATCACTATGTACTACATAGCTTTGCACATTATCGACTGAATATATTTGTATATGTTTTCTGCAGATTTCCACTACGACCATCAGACAAAAACAAAATTGAAAATGTTCATACGCGCATCGTAGTGGTTGCCCATTTACGTTCTAGATTTTCTTTAGAATATGCAAGCAGACTGTGAGATTGAGTAAATCCTATTTTTTAACACAACTATATGGCTTATTAGCACGATATGATTAAGCCACATAATTATCTATACTCGCGATTCTTAGAGATACCAAATTTTATTAATACAAGATGATCCTTTGCTAACATCTTGTTACACATACAACTAACGCATCTCTAATTTAGTTATTCTTCATACACAAAGGCAACAAAGGTAAACCATTACAAAATTACATACTCCCTCAAGATCGTTAATTACGATATTGTATCGTAATGTATGGTACCATGTACTGAAAGTTTTCCTCCTTCACGTGAAAGTTAATGAAAGATCAAATATAATTTACATGTATAGTTCGTGTAATTTCCAAAGGAGATTAAAAATAGTGGACTCGACTCTAGATAGTGGTAAATATGAATAACAATTTCAGTCAAAGGTAATGGGTATATTTCTCGCAATTACCAATACTAAGTACTATTTGTATTCCTTTGAATTGCTTAGATGTATCTTCAAAAATAGGTAAATTTAAGGCTAGTCTTATATTCTCATCACAGGCTCCCAATCAGAAATTTAAATTATAACACATTTTCGAGAGACTGAAATTAAAATTTACTCTAGAATATGTAAAAATTATGCGTTATAATCTGTGTCGTTAATATTTGGAGGAAAACTGTCGAGAGTTAAATAGAATCATGCAAAATCGTATAAGACTACGCCCAAAAATAGCACTTATCGGAGGTTTTGAATACTTTTCGATAAAAATAGTCAGGAAGAAATGAAATATTTCTAATGACATGGCATTGAGATGATACGATAAGAGAGGACGATAGGCCGTAGTGATATTTTTGGTCGAATCCTTATAACATTTGTTTACCATCTAATTGCAAGACCTTGGCAATCGTTATTTTATTGAAACATTCATCGTTAACGTTATACTGAAATGTAAAATTTAAATATTACGTTTCGTATTATCTAATATCACCAGGGTAAGAAATTAACCTTCACGCAAAATAAAATCTATACTTATGCTTGTACACGCTAACAATTCGCGTTGCCTATCGGCTGTTCAACGAATTTTTTTACGAGTCTTCATCACGTTTTTTTAAATTATTATCTACTCATTATGTTCGTTGTACTGAATCAGATTAATTTCTTACCTGAGACTTTAAACTCTAATTACTCGCTTTTAAAGTGTATGTACTCCATAGCTGTAATACATGATAGTAGAATTAAATTGTTTTTCCTAAATAATGGCTATATTTGCATGAAAAGTGAACTGGCGTGATGTTATATCATAAGCGGCACCAATGTGATTGAATTTTCTTGTGTATTAAATAATAAATGACTTGCATGGGATGTCATTTAAAATTATGATACATAATAACGCATGTGACGGTGCGTGTGCCATAGCTCATACTTTGTAGAATTAAAAAATCTCTTGGAGTTAACTCCAAAATAAACGTTAGGTAGGTATTATATCCTCTTGATCATGTATTTTTTGTCCAGTTTTTGCAAAAATCAGTATAGTAGGTCCAACCCAGTGCAATCAATATTAGTACCTATGCATCAGATACTCTTGAGATGATAGTACCAATAATCAAATTCATTGCTACGCTGTTATTGTACTGTGCTTTAATAGACGTCGTATTTACAAAAATACTCTTCAAGACGTTTATTTTTATTTTGTTTTTGTTCCTGTATGTTATTTATTTCGAACACCATGTACGCTCTCATTATTAATCGTACATTACCCAACTAAAACTTATGGTACTTCCTTTCTGATGATAAAAGAAAAAGGAAGCTCAAATCACATTTTTCTTTTAGTCAGGTCTGTATATTGGTATCTTAGGAATAAATTCGACTAAGAGAACCTGTAAATTACACAAAAACAATTCACTGATTACTAATATCGCATAATTTCATAATAAAACTTACATATTCCATCATAGATGAGCTATCACATCTTTGCTTTGTTAATCGCCAATGTAAACCCAACTTGTGATACAGTCTGCTGTTCTCCCATTCCAACAACTTGTTTAATGAATGCTGTGTCTGAATATTAAAAATAGTTTTCAGTAATATAAAATTATTATACTTATCAGATCAGTTCCAAAAATATATATATAAGATTTGCAATGATAAAGAGCACAATAATGTATTACCCTTTTACTGAGACACACTACTGGCCACAGAGAGCATCCCAATGTACAGCAACAACAAACACAGCCACAAAAGAGCCATTTGACATTGACTGGCAAGGTTTTCTTCAGTACACTATTGACTCTCATCACAGTAGCCTTGAATTCTTCTGGAGCAACTCGGGACACCAGGCCATTGGGAAATTCAGACTCAAACTTATTACTCAGACCAAATCTAGATATAAAAAAATATATGCAATATCTCTTTTCCATAAACCAGAATTAGATGTCATAATACATTATATGTATATCGTGTAAAGCTATAAATAATCTTCTAAATGTTTCCAACGCGTTGACTGCATTGCAACCCCGCATTGGAACTTACCTACGAAGAAAAAAACTTAATGCTCAGGATTAATTTCAGTAATCAATGTATAGACGTTGTTTAACAAACGTATAACTTAGTATCATACAATGTGAAGCGCCTTAAAACATTAAGGTTTTAAGCTATTCCGATTTTTAAAAAACGTAACACGCAATTTTTGGCAGTCTATACTATCATTCGTCGTTCATTAAACGTCATTTCATACTAAGAAGACCATTCCCGGATACGGAATATTTCGAAGCAACGAAAAAAGAACGGACAAAGCATACATACACCGTCATGTTACCAGCTCCACGTATAACTATAGGATCCGGTACCATGGTCACGTAATGTTCTTCCAAATTTTGTTCGTTCACGTCTTCCTCTTCGTAAATTGCATCAAAATCTGCCATCACGTAAACTTGCTGCTTAAATATTAGTATAATTAATGTAAATGCTCAAGCATTAATCACTACCAAACCACTTCTATTTTCTTATAAAACTGTCAACTACAATTAATATACACTTTGTATATCTTTGCAGAGTTATACGCTTAGTGTGATCATTTTCATTGTCAGGCACTTTAGAATATTGCCTGAAAGTAGTCAAAATACCACTCACGACACAACACAAAACACGCACTGCAGGTGCTCACAGCTCATCAATTTTCTATTCAATGCAATTCCTTCCTTTCCTTATGGCTGACTCCTCCAATGAGATGTGCCAGATTCAATGCAATTCAATGCGACCAGAGATAAGTAAGGGAGATTGCCAACGTAAGGCTACGGAGATACGCTCAGAATTTTGGGGCGCCTCTAGCGAATTTTCTACAAAGCAGGCACACAATTCCGAAGTGCCGCTTGGAGGGGGCAAAGGAGACATGTGCCTTCAGCGCCGCGGCGAGAGGAGAGAGATGTGCACACACACACGCATGGCGAATGAGCGGAGGGGATACCTAAAGTGATGTGAATGCTTCGACCGATTTTTTCTTTTCCAGCGCTATAAACATCCTAACCCACGTAAACAAACGACAAGCCCAGTGGGGGAGGGGGGGGGGCACAACACATATGCTGCTTTCAAATATAAGCGTGCAAGTGAATCGATAGCCATGATAGCTAAGGCGCATGATTTT